CATAAAATGCTATGGGAATAGAGGGAAACAGGTCCGTGACGTAGGAAGTGATGAAGGAAGTAGTAAATGCGAGCAGTCCGGAGTGTGGGGACTGTTTATGACGATAAGATTAGGGTATCTGCAATCCTAAAATGCTATGGGAAGGGAGGAAAACAGGTCCGCGACGTAGGAAGTGGTGAAGGAAGTAGTCAAGGCGAGTAGTCCGGAGTGCGGGAACTGTTTATGACGATTAGAATAAGGTATCTGCAATCTTTAAGTACAATAGGAAGGGAGGGAAACAGGTCCGTGACGTAGGAAGTGGTGAAGGAAGTAGTCAAGGCGAGCTGTCAGGAGTGAGGGAACTGTTTATGGCGATTAGATAAGGGTATGGGCAATCCTAAAATGCTATGGGAAGGGAGGGAAACAGGTCCGTGACGTAAGAAGTGGTGAAGGAAGTAGTCAAGGCGAGCTGTCTGGAGCGTGGGAACTGTTTATGATGATTAGATTAAGGTATTTGCAATCCTAAAATGCTATGGAAAGGGAGGAAAATAGGTCCGCGACGTAGGAAGTGGTGAAGGAAGTAGTCTAGGCGAGTTGTCCGGAGTGTTGGAAATGTTTATGACAATTAGATTAAGGTATCAGCAAACCTAAAATGCTACGGGAAGGGAGGAAAACAGGTCCGCGACGTAGGAAGTGATGAAGGAAGTAGTCAAGGTGAGCTGTCCGGAGTGTGGGGACTGTTTATGACGATTAGATTAAGGTATTTGCAATTCTAAAATGCTATGGAAAGGGAGGAAAATAGGTCCGCGACGTAGGAAGTGGTGAAGGAAGTAGTCTAGGCGAGTTGTCCGGAGTGTTTGAAATGTTTATGACAATTAGATTATGGTATCAGCAAACCTAAAATGCTACGGGAAGGGAGGAAAACAGGTCCGCAACGTAGGAAGTGATGAAGGAAGTAGTCAAGGTGAGCTGTCCGGAGTGTGGGAACTGTTTATGACGATTAGATTAAGGTATTTGCAATCCTAAAATGCTATGGGAAGGGAGGAAAACAGGTCCGCGACGTAGGAAGTGGTGAAGGAAGTAGTCAAGGCGAGTAGTCCGGAGTGTGGGAACTGTTTATGACGATTAGATTAAGGTATCTGCAATCTTTAAATGCAATGGAATGGAGGGAAACAGATCCATGACGTAGGAAATTGTGTAGGATGTAGATGTGTGGATTTATGCATCTCCAATACTACGGTGCTTTCAGAGTGAACTAATGATTTTCCCCGAGCAAAGCTCGGTCCCCAGGTACTATAATCAAATGACGACACTAGCTTGAGGTTCGTGACGTATGAAGAGGTTAAGGAAGTAGTAAAGGTGAACAGTCTGGAGTATGGAAACTGTTTATGACGATTAGATTAAGGTCACAACGTTCCTAAAATGCTACGGAAAGGGAGGGAAACAGGTCCGCGATGTGGGAAGTGGCGAAGGAAGTAGTAAAGGCGAGCTGTTCGGAGTGTGGGATCTGTTTATGACGATTAGATTCAGGTATCTGCAATCTTAAAATGCTATGGGGAGAGAGGGAAACAGATCCGCGACGTAGAAACAGGTGAAAGAAGTAGTAAGGTGAGCAGTGTGGAGTGTGGGAACTGGAAACCGTTTGTAGCAGTTTTAATGTATCTGCAATGCTGAAATGCTATGAGAAGGGATGGAAGCATGCCCAAGACATAGGAAATTGTGAAAGAAGTAGTAAAGTCTAGCAGTACGGACAGTGGGGATGTTTGTTGCAATTAGATTAACGTATCTAAAATACTAAAATGCTATGGAAAGCGATGAATACAGGTCCACGACGTAAGTGGTGAAGGAAGTAGTAAAGGCTGGCAGTGCAGAGTGGGGGAACCGTTTGAGCAGATGGATAAATGAATTTGTAATACTTAAATGCTATGAGAAAGGAAGGAAACAGGCCAATGACGTAGTAAATGGTGAAGGAAGTAGTAAGGCTAACAGCGCAGAGTGTGGGAACTGTCTTTGGCAATTAAATTAATGTATCTGCAATCCTAAAATGCTATGGGAAGAGAGGGAAACAGGTCCACGACGTAGGGTGTGGTGAAGGAAGTAGTAAAGTCGAGCAGTGTTGAGTTTGGGAATCGATTAATGTATCTGCAATGCTAAAATGCTACGGGAAGAGACTGTAGACTGTAATATGTTAAAATGATTACGAAGCACAAATCGATACATATTTTCGATACATGCAATCGTTTACAATCGAAATTTACAACTGAGTTGACAACAGCTGATTTTTACTCCATAGAGGCTAAAAACGATTTTTACTCCCTAAATATTAAAAATGCTACTTTAGACCCGCAGCGCATGCATGAAAAAATACTGTTTTTACTGCAGTAAGACAAAAACAATATAATATGAACCCTTGATGACTCCGCTCAATTTTGTGGATGCCTCTGCGAACGCCACCTAGTTTGTATTTCTCTAGCCAAAGCAATGGAGTTCCCATAAAACAGTAAAGGATAAGTATCTCCTGTCTCCCTCCCTGTCGTTTAAGTAGGTGGTAAGTGTAGCTATAAGTCTTATTGGGCAGGTTTAACACCCTGGGCTGACGGACTGGAGGGAACACTTGGTGTGGCGAGGGTGAGAAGATTTACAGGGACCACAGCTGCTGCTCTCAAACTTTCGTCCCATCTCAAAACAAAAGAACTAAATAAACCTATCTTTCATTGCAATATCTTATAAGTTTATGTTGTAAAACACCCGGTATTGAAAATCAGATTTTTCAAAAATGAAATTCCGATATTTAAGATGGTTATTATGTTTATCAACCGGTTCGTCAGTTAAAATATGAGCCTGTGGTTGCCTGTAGTTGTTCTTTGCTAGTAGTCTTAGCTTTCGTTCTTTTTACTAGTGTCGTCGCCAGTGGCTTTTTGTATGAAAGAAGATTAAAAGATATAATGGGAAAGTAGTCCAAACCCCTAATGTGTTTGAGAATATGCCGGGAATCGAACTTGTCCCCGTACTGGGGTGAACGCAACCAACACAATTAATTATGTTTTCATACAAGTAAAAAATTATATATATATATAGTAATTTAACAGCCTAGTAACGTATTAAAATGACACACACACAATTAATGAAGCTTTTTAAATACAAACGTTTTAATATTATAGATTGTATATCGTATTTACTTTTATAATGCTATTTATAAAGTTAGTTCAACATTTCAAAGTTTATATGACTTTAAAATATATGATGCGTGATTTTTCCCACACTGGAAAGCTTAGAACACGATGTAAATAATTCACAGGCACTTTTCAACCCTCGCCACCCCTACATCTGTAACAAACAGCGTACTCAAAGTTACAGGTCTCTCGCAGATTTATGTTTCTATATTTAAACTTTAAATATTTTCCCTTTTAACATGTAAATTTATTCTAAATTTCAGAATAAAAAAGTATATGGTAGCCTACCTTAACAACTCACTTTGGTCGACAAGTTTACTTCACGTTAAACTATTCCACAATTTAGCTGAAATAATAATTTATTGCCCACAATTTAAATATAGTACAATTATCTAGTCAACAAGACTACAAGATCGCGCACTACTCCACCTACACTCATCTCCATTCATACTTGGATTAAAATACCTACTTTGTATGGTCACCATTTCAATGAAAAAGTATTTTAAAAAATATTACCATTCTACTTTTGGTGCAGTGCAAGCTAGGAGGCCTACTAAGCGTGTTATCAACCCTACAATTATCAGAAGCGTGCGAAGAGTGCGTTACTCTCCATTCCACGTCCAGTTGGAAAAGCATCTGATAAGAGACACATTACAGGATAATACATATTTATACTATCAATGACACATTCAGCTTAGTAAATGTGTTATGAGAATTTTGTTTTGTTACTCATAAAAAAATACTATCCACATTGGTAAAAATGTTGCTTGATTGGTTAGTATTAATAAGAGATATGTATAGTGATTCAAAACTCTTCAAATTACACTTATTATTACTTATTTCTGTTCCATTCACACACTCAAGACTATGGACTGTCTCTGCCCAGGGTGTTGAGCCCTTGCAAGACTTATGGCTACAATCACCAACCACCTTAACGACAGGGCGGGGGACCGTTACCAGGCTTACCCCACACAATGTTCAACACATTATTTTGTGAAGACAGTTCTTAAGCCAACGAACGTCATTTCACAACTTTAAATAGCTAAATCTTTAGTTTTAGAACATCATCAACTGTCTGAAAGATTAACCTACGTTCTAAAAAATATGTCAATAAAGCAAGTTTTTAGATTAATTGTTGAACTTTAGGCTTTAATAAAGATTGCTTTAATTTAAAGGAGTGAAGAGAACTACTAAGCCGATCAGTGGATGGAAATTTTTCAGAACCATAAATTGAAACCATAGTCTATATATGTGGTTTAAAAAATAAATAAAATAAAAAGTTTATCTATATACAAATAAGAAAGTACAACAATCAAAGGTTGTTGGCATAATTAATTGACAGCTCATTGAAAACGGCATCTCGGTAACACCATCGATCTCTATGGGTAACACTCACCTACCCAGACAATACAATTACGGTATTGCAAACATTTTAAAATGATTTATATTGTTACATCAGTAAGTGAACTATACAGAGTACCTGTAATGGTGTAATATGAATACAGGTACCTGTAATCACGGTAAATTACTTGATACAACGGACTAATTCGTAAACCGTATTTTAGCTAATGCGAACTTCAAAGGAGTTTCGCTTAAGTATAGTGGTCCACTTCAATCGATCGTATCCCTCAAAGAGATTAAAGGGCTAAGGGCTGTTTGGCACTGGACAGAGGCTTATCAGATCTGACGACCTTGAAGTTCTCATTCGACGACAGAGATAACAGTAAGGTCACCCCCTCTTATCGAACTAATTGGAGGGTTTCAAACACGTACACTCTAAACACAGCACATGGAGTAAGCACAATTAGCTACAGAGGACATACAGTGTACACGCGACAGATACTGTACTGTACCAGTTATGTGTTTGTCTCTGAGTGCGACACACGGTACGAGTGTCACATGTAAATGATGTATTGTCTCTGTTATTGATGTTGGCCTGCGTGCAATGTTTGATGTTGCTCTGTATGGATATGAATTGCTTGTTATGTCACACAATATGTAGTGTATAGACAAGTAAGACATATCTTCATACAGTGTACACGCGACAGATATACTGTACTGTACCAGTTATGTGTTTGTCTCTGAGTGCGACACACGGTACGAGTGTCACATGTAAATGATGTATTGTCTCTGTTATTGATGTTGGCCTGTGTGCAATGTTTGATGTCGCTCTGTATGGATATGAATTGCTTGTTATGTCACACAATATGTAGTGTATAGACAAGTAAGACATATCTTCATACATTGCACACGCGACAGATATACTGTACTGTACCAGTTATGTGTTTGTCTCTGAGTGCGACACACGGTACGAGTGTCACATGTAAATGATGTATTGTCTCTGTTATTGATGTTGGCCTGCGTGCAATGTTTGATGTTGCTCTGTATGGATATGAATTGCTTGTTATGTCACACAATATGTAGTGTATAGACAAGTGAGACATATCTTCATACAGTGTACACGCGACAGATATACTGTACTGTACCAGTTATGTGTTTGTCTCTGAGTGCGACACACGGCACGAGTGTCACATGTAAATGATGTATTGTCTCTGTTATTGATGTTGGCCTGTGTGCAATGTTTGATGTTGCTCTGTATGGATATGAATTGCTTGTTATGTCACACAATATGTAGTGTATAGACAAGTGAGACATATCTTCATACAGTGTACACGCGACAGATATACTGTACTGTACCAGTTATGTGTTTGTCTCTGAGTGCGACACACGGCACGAATGTCACATGTAAATGATGTATTGTCTCTATTATTGATGTTGGCCTGCGTGCAATGTTTGATGTTGCTCTGTATGGATATGAATTGCTTGTTATGTCACACAATATGTAGTGTATAGACAAGTAAGACATATCTTCATACAGTGTACACGCGACAGATATACTGTACTGTACCAGTTATGTGTTTGTCTCTGAGTGCGACACACGGCACGAGTGTCATATGTAAATGATGTATTGTCTCTGTTATTGATGTTGGCCTGTGTGCAATGTTTGATGTTGCTCTGTATGGATATGAATTGCTTGTTATGTCACACAATATGTAGTGTATAGACAAGTAAGACATATCTTCATACATTGCACACGCGACAGATATACTGTACTGTACCAGTTATGTGTTTGTCTCTGAGTGCGACACACGGTACGAGTGTCACATGTAAATGATGTATTTTCTCTGTTATTGATGTTGGCCTGTGTGCAATGTTTGATGTTGCTCTGTATGGATATGAATTGCTTGTTATGTCACACAATATGTAGTGTATAGACAAGTAAGACATATCTTCATACATTGTACACGCGACAGATATACTGTACTGTACCAGTTATGTGTTTGTCTCTGAGTGCGACACACGGCACGAGTGTCACATGTAAATGATGTATTGTCTCTGTTATTGATGTTGGCCTGTGTGCAATGTTTGATGTTGCTCTGTATGGATATGAATTGCTTGTTATGTCACACAATATGTAGTGTATAGACAAGTAAGACATATCTTCATACATTGCACACGCGACAGATATACTGTACTGTACCAGTTATGTGTTTGTCTCTGAGTGCGACACACGGCACGAGTGTCACATGTAAATGATGTATTGTCTCTGTTATTGATGTTGGCCTGTGTGCAATGTTTGATGTTGCTCTGTATGGATATGAATTGCTTGTTATGTCACACAATATGTAGTGTATAGACAAGTAAGACATATCTTCATACATTGCACACGCGACAGATATACTGTACTGTACCAGTTATGTGTTTGTCTCTGAGTGCGACACACGGTACGAGTGTCACATGTAAATGATGTATTGTCTCTGTTATTGATGTTGGCCTGTGTGCAATGTTTGATGTCGCTCTGTATGGATATGAATTGCTTGTTATGTCACACAATATGTAGTGTATAGACAAGTGAGACATATCTTCATACAGTGTACACGCGACAGATATACTGTACTGTACCAGTTATGTGTTTGTCTCTGAGTGCGACACACGGCACGAGTGTCACATGTAAATGATGTATTGTCTCTATTATTGATGTTGGCCTGCGTGCAATGTTTGATGTTGCTCTGTATGGATATGAATTGCTTGTTATGTCACACAATATGTAGTGTATAGACAAGTAAGACATATCTTCATACAGTGTACACGCGACAGATATACTGTACTGTACCAGTTATGTGTTTGTCTCTGAGTGCGACACACGGCACGAGTGTCATATGTAAATGATGTATTGTCTCTGTTATTGATGTTGGCCTGTGTGCAATGTTTGATGTTGCTCTGTATGGATATGAATTGCTTGTTATGTCACACAATATGTAGTGTATAGACAAGTAAGACATATCTTCATACATTGCACACGCGACAGATATACTGTACTGTACCAGTTATGTGTTTGTCTCTGAGTGCGACACACGGTACGAGTGTCACATGTAAATGATGTATTTTCTCTGTTATTGATGTTGGCCTGTGTGCAATGTTTGATGTTGCTCTGTATGGATATGAATTGCTTGTTATGTCACACAATATGTAGTGTATAGACAAGTAAGACATATCTTCATACATTGTACACGCGACAGATATACTGTACTGTACCAGTTATGTGTTTGTCTCTGAGTGCGACACACGGCACGAGTGTCACATGTAAATGATGTATTGTCTCTGTTATTGATGTTGGCCTGTGTGCAATGTTTGATGTTGCTCTGTATGGATATGAATTGCTTGTTATGTCACACAATATGTAGTGTATAGACAAGTAAGACATATCTTCATACATTGCACACGCGACAGATATACTGTACTGTACCAGTTATGTGTTTGTCTCTGAGTGCGACACACGGCACGAGTGTCACATGTAAATGATGTATTGTCTCTGTTATTGATGTTGGCCTGTGTGCAATGTTTGATGTTGCTCTGTATGGATATGAATTGCTTGTTATGTCACACAATATGTAGTGTATAGACAAGTAAGACATATCTTCATACATTGCACACGCGACAGATATACTGTACTGTACCAGTTATGTGTTTGTCTCTGAGTGCGACACACGGTACGAGTGTCACATGTAAATGATGTATTTTCTCTGTTATTGATGTTGGCCTGTGTGCAATGTTTGATGTTGCTCTGTATGGATATGAATTGCTTGTTATGTCACACAATATGTAGTGTATAGACAAGTAAGACATATCTTCATACAGTGTACACGCGACAGATATACTGTACTGTACCAGTTATGTGTTTGTCTCTGAGTGCGACACACGGCACGAGTGTCACATGTAAATGATGTATTGTCTCTATTATTGATGTTGGCCTGCGTGCAATGTTTGATGTTGCTCTGTATGGATATGAATTGCTTGTTATGTCACACAATATGTAGTGTATAGACAAGTAAGACATATCTTCATACAGTGTACACGCGACAGATATACTGTACTATACCAGTTATGTGTTTGTCTCTGAGTGCGACACACGGCACGAGTGTCACATGTAAATGATGTATTGTCTCTGTTATTGATGTTGGCCTGTGTGCAATGTTTGATGTTGCTCTGTATGGATATGAATTGCTTGTTATGTCACACAATATGTAGTGTATAGACAAGTAAGACATATCTTCATACATTGTACACGCGACAGATATACTGTACTGTACCAGTTATGTGTTTGTCTCTGAGTGCGACACAAGGTACGAGTGTCACATGTAAATGATGCATTGTCTCTGTTATTGATGTTGGTCTGTGTGCAATGTTTTGATGTCGCTCTGTATGGATATGAATTGCTTGTTATGTCACACAATATGTAGTGTATAGACAAGTAAGACATATCTTCATACATTGCACACGCGACAGATATACTGTACTGTACCAGTTATGTGTTTGTCTCTGAGTGCGACACACGGCACGAGTGTCACATGTAAATGATGTATTGTCTCTGTAATTGATGTTGGCCTGCGTGCAATGTTTGATGTTGCTCTGTATGGATATGAATTGCTTGTTATGTCACACAATATGTAGTGTATAGACAAGTGAGACATATCTTCATACATTGCACACGCGACAGATATACTGTACTGTACCAGTTATGTGTTTGTCTCTGAGTGTGACACCCGGTACGAGTGTCACATGTAAATGATGCATTGTCTCTGTTATTGATGTTGGCCTGTGTGCAATGTTTTGATGTCGCTCTGTATGGATATGAATTGCTTGTTATGTCACACAATATGTAGTGTATAGACAGGTGAGAGATATCTTCATAATGTGTAAACTTTTTTATTGATAAGGTTACGTTATTTCGAACTATATTGTTAGTGGTAGAAAATTAGGGAACTCGACCTAACAAATTCGGACTAAATGGAAGTTTTGCGTCAAAAGTCCCCATAAACCCTGGCTCAATATCTTCCCTGTAGCAGCAAACCTTAGTAATCATTAAATTAATGTTAATCAAATAGGAAATAAATCTGACAATTTTAAGGGAATATTTTAGTATAAATCCAGCCAGGTAAATGGAAATTCACTTGTCTGCAGGTTTGCTGCGGCGAGGGTATTTTATCATGCCACAGGTTGATATATTATTATAAACTTGGTTAACCACTTACAAAAATATTACTAAGCTACACAAAACTTAAATCCTACAGCCTATTCATTAATTTAGTTGTAATGCCTAGTATTTAATGTATAAATTAATTAATTAACATAGTCCTATTGGTAATAGTTTGTTTGTTGAATAGCAGCATTAATTATAGTTATAAGCTTTTTAAGCCCTTAAGCTTTTTTTAATGTATATGGCTATAGAAATAAGATAAATCCTAAAGACGATACAAAAGTCATTTTATTTCCTTACGCTCTCCCGCAAAGCCCGGCTTTAAGAGGTCTTATAAATGGTCACATGTGTATTTTATTTGCACTTGCTTTTGAAGAGAACTATTTTCATCAGGTCTTTTAAATTTCTTTTGTAAATTAAATTATAAATAACATAGACTGTGAATTGTTGCATGTGAATTCGTAACAACGTACCAGAATTATGGGGACGACTAAACTAACTAAACGTGCACGGCTTTTATGCTACGAAGTAATAATGGTATTTTAAGCAATACTACTAGCAAGAATTAAAAGAAAATTGATATGTTGGTATGGTTGTCTACAGGTATTTGTCACATAAATTCAAACTAATCCAAGTATAAAGATATTTTGTAACTCAAATTCCATATAAAATTCATACGAAACTTTTGGCTTTGAAAGGTACCTCTTTGTTTGGCTCCCAATTAAACATGAAGGGCGAGATTCTGTAATTGATATTACATTTTGGAGGAATAACTACTTGTAGTGTTCTAATATTAATAATTGCATGTTATTAACTTAACCGTTGTGCCCTGAGCATCAATCCCGACCCCTCTTATGTGTTTCCCGGTTGTTCTGTTTTAATTACAGGCACAACGCCTTATTGCGCCCTAAATATGTAAATTAAATATGCCCAAGGAGACACATTCGCTTTGATTATCTTTTGGCTTTTATCAAACTTTTTATAACGCTGTAAAAACTTATGTGTTTTGGGTAAAACAAAACATAAAATAGTACTTTTAATGTGGTTGTCATAAAACATCTCATTTCCATTTCCATTCAAGAGTACAACAATGTTATGGATGATTATGGATTATTGCTTTTACTGACGGTACTTGGCTGTCTCCATTCAATTAAAGTGAAGTGGTCCACTAATATCAGTAAACTTCGAAGCTATGTGATTCAAGTTTGAGTGGGTCAGAGGGACGAGCTGTGAAATAGGGGATTGAAACATGGTTTTGAGCCAGTGAAATCATGGATTTTATTGGTGGATTGGTAGGTTGGTATTGGTGCTTGTCGCAGTCGATCGAAAACACTTAGTCATGTTTTAGCAAAAGTTATTTTATGTGTTTTGTTTTTTTAGAACTTTTACAACTAAAAATTGAATGTACTCTTTTTTACGTTTACACAATAAAATGTGGGATAAAATAATAAACTCAAAACAAAATAATATTTCTGAAAGCATTGTGCAAAAGATTAAGATAGTTGTGTTAAATTTGATAACGTAAAAATGAGGTTAAAATTTTATTCTGATTTAAAATGCATTAACGATATAGCTTAAAGTTACATAAAATAAAATTGTATGCATGATATTATTAGTGGGACACACTTTTAATTAACACTGACACCAATTAAGGTTTTTTTAATTGAATTTATTCTCCCAGGTGAATTGCATATTACTGTAATTTAAAATATGGGAGGGTACCTTTTGGCATAATATTTTCATTTCATCATTAGCCTATACTGTTATGTCACAATGTACAACTATTGGAACATCCTAGGCCTACAACAATGTATCACGGTGGTGGTAAAGTTTGAAATTAAAACAGTGTAGTTAAGGAGAAAGTTATTGTTCTAAATTTACATAGAACCAAAGGGACCTCTCTGTTACAGGATATCCAAGGGGTTTATAAATGGCTATAAGTTTCTGGTAAGGAAGCAGAAGTGAGCTTTAATTTCCTGAGGCTTTCCTTATTCCTGAATGGCTTAGCAAAGTTTCATATATGGCCACACATGTCTGGGTCCTGGGTCATTGACCCTTATCAAATACAAGATTTCTCACCCTATAATATCACAATTATATTTAATTGATAATGTTTTCCAACGCGTTGTTGTATACGTCTATGACTTATCCATATCGATGACAAGCCAAATTATTCGATAACATCTTTCAATAATAAATTAGTATGTCACTCAATGGTCATAATATAAAATTATCCTAGTTATTGAAATTGGTACTGTGAAATAAATTTCTTAAGTGATGGGAAGGCTTTTGGAATATAAAAACAACCTTTTTATATATATTTAATAAATAAAATCTTAGATTTTTCTTTTAATTCCCGTATGTGTGATATAGAGCATATAAAACCATAAAAGTTACTCTCGGCTTTATAAAAACTAATTTTGCCATTAACATAAATTGTCCGTTTTTGCCATTTCTTAGACTATGAACAAAACAGATATTCTAGGTTAATTGTATTTACTAATTTGTTTCATGACCCACCAACTATATTATTAGCAATGTATACTATAGCAGTTTATACCAAGGACTTCAGTCGTTGGTATTTTAACAAATTAATGCTGGGTATCGAAGAGTCTAATCGTATAAGGTTTATTCTAGAAAGTGTGCTTGATTATTAGGTATTTTGTAACTTCACCTCAAGTTAGAAAATGTATACGCTGTTTAAACAAAAATATGTTGTAAGAATTTTATTTTGTGTTTTGCAATACTCTTTTCCACACTAAAAGGTAAATTATGTGAATACCAAATATACATAAATGTTGGTAGCCTACTAGTTTTAGACAAATGTGTTTACAATGTTAGGATTTTAGACGTCCATGCCGTGTGTGTCTAGGCTCTACCCCTGTAGGCAGTAATTGTAGGCTTGTTTGCATGCACATAACTTGCGTGCGGCTCCTCGCTTGCTCCTTCTCATAAGAATGGGTACCAGGTAACAAACGTATTTACAGTTTTACACTGTGTGCGAGAACAGAACAATTACAATCCGCAGGTCACATAAATATGACCATCTTCTCTGTTACTAATGTTGTATTATCAGGTGCAACAACAAAACACTTATCTTTTGCAGGGTGAGGTAAGAGCAAACGTCATACAGCTCGCACGTCACATGTTTCAAATTCTAAAAATCAGGTCGTATAGCACAAAATGTCCTAAGGCTTCTGTGCCTTTGCGCGATTGCTGGTGCGTGTACGTGTGAGAGTGTGAACGTGTTTTTTTTATTTCTATTTATATTATTTGCATTTTTGTTTAATCTGTTCTTGATTTATTAAATATGTAGATTTATATTAGCTAAAGAATTCTCATTGTATTTTTATTACTTAATATTTACTTTTGCCAGGTTAAGTGTAAGAAAGAGCTATGTGGCCCTAACTTTGCCTGGTAAAATAAAGAATTTTTCATTTAATTTCAAAATGCATTCAATGACAACAAAACAAAATACAACACAAGCATCAACCAAAAATTACGAATATTTTTTAATACAAGTCTTGTATTCGAGGCCCAACATCTTGTGAGAACAGAACAACTGGAATACAAAAATTCATATTTATAATACGTAAATATACAATGATGAATCTTCTCTGTTATACATGTGGTCATCACTGTGGTCAGGCCAATATAGTTTTGTACGGCCACAATGGATATGGTATGCAGTTTTACATTTATTAAGATCCATACTTAACATTCTCTTTTATTATACTTTAATTTGATAAAAACCTAATCAAATACACAAGTCGCTGATAATATTATGTCACGATGCTATAGTCACAACCTACATGGATAAGAACTTTGCCATATAAAAGTTTACATTTTGTAGCTGCAATGATGATGTTTTTAGACGTATTAGTCAATGTAACAATTAATTATTGTCGCCAACTTTGAAATAATTAATGTTTTGTAACCAAACTCTGTAAGTTAATATACATTTTACCAGACTGTCAAGTTATTTGTAAACCATGTGCATTACTCCCATGCATATCTGTCAGATTGTAACTTCACCTCACTTTTACCAAGCATGGGAAGAGTAGACTGTTAGTATCTCATCCCCGACATCCCCCTCCGGAGTAGGTGGGGAAGCTGAGGGAGTTTAGGAACAATTTATGAAGCACAGCTGTGTCTTAAGACTTTGAGCCTCGATGAGATTCTCATTGTTGCACTCCAATGAGACTTGTCAGATTTTTCTGACTGGCTTGAAATATATTTTGCTAAAAACTGAAATAGCGGAGGGATAATTCTTGAGTACACTTACATGAGAGTGCATTAATGAATATTTTATCTCTGATCTGGTATACCTGATTTTAACTTAATTAAGATTGTGTGGTTTGGAGCTCTAATAAAGCACGTTATAAAGACTAAATAAGGAGAGACGAACAGCCCCTTAATTTGTAAACCTCTG